AAATTTGAAGTCTACATTCATGGTACATCTTAATATCAATTCTTTTAGGATTTCAGTATGGATTCCAATGTTTATCGACTGCTTGTCCACTTGTTCACATATATAATTAACTGTTTCTATTAGAGGTACATTCGTGAATAACGATGTTATGTCCAAAGATATCATGGTTTTTTCCTTGATATTAATATCTTTTATTTTGTCTACGAATTCGAATACATCTTTGACGCTATATTTCACTATCTTCTCATGCAATGGTTTGAGAATATTTACTAACCATCTATCTAGAGCATGGTAGGGCGAATTTTGCATATCAAGTATTGGTCTTAACGGTACCCCTGGTTTATGCACTTTAGGTAGGCCATACAATCTTGGCATATACGTGCCCGTCGGTCTGATTTCTTCATATAAACTTTCAGAAACTATCTGCTCCTCCCTTAGTTTCTTCAAACGTCTGGTTAATTCATTCTCTACTTTGTTATTGAAATCTTTCTTCTCCTCAAGTTTTTGAAACTTCTGTGTATCCTTCAATATATCCTTCATCTTTTTAATATAGTCATTTCTATCAAGAAGGACTACTCCTGACCCTTTATCCGGCTTTATGATTATCATTCTCTCATCATTTATCAGTCTTTTTAGTTCTTCTCTGTGTTCCTTTGTCAAGAAACTTTTACTGTCGCATTTGAGGTTTTTGTACTGGTAACAACACTCCACTAGACTGGATTTGAAGCGTTCTAGTTCGAAGGTGGATGATGGAGCTAGATCCCTTGCTTGACTAAATAGGTTTTCAAATTCAATATCAGTATCTAAGTAATTAACTCGTTTCGGTCTGTCACAAAATCGAAGGCCAAGTGAAAGTACTTCAAGTTGCACCTTATTTAATTCAACACTACTATAATTGTAGACGTACTTTTTAGGATCTGCTGGAAATTTACCAGCCTCTGGCTTCCTTTCAAGTCCTTTTATGAGCTCTATCTGCTTCTTCTGTGCTCTTCGTTCACTAACTAGTGTAACGTATTCCATGAAAGGCGTTCGAAGATCTTCTGACAGTTCATCTACCGCATATTGCCTACGAGCGATATTCATTTCATTCTCTTGAATGAAAGTAGATAAAGAGTCTTTTTGGTTTAGTGCATATCGTTTCAGCGTTTTCCTATTGGGATGAACTCTGCTTCGACGTAGAGACTTGTAATAAACTTTAGGATAGTGATTTAACTCGATGCAATTGTTAATAAAATCCAATGTAGCCTTTGTTTCATTGAGCTTAGCGTTATACTTCAGGTACTCATTGAGAACCTTCAACGCTACAGGCGGCTCACAACATTTTAATTGATCAAAAATGCCCATTAAAATTTTCAATTCATTCATTCATTATAATGTATATATAATTGTAGAACCTGATGATGAATTTATCGAAAAGAGTTCTCTTTGTTCAGTGTCTATTCTTTTGAAAATTTTAATGGGCATTTTTGATCAATTTTATTAATTGTACATGTGTGCATAGCACAAGAGTCCATAACGGTTTCGGACTATGGTCTACGTCATCAGAATATTTCACAAAATGTGGTGAATAATCGAAATTGTAGCTAGGAGTGGAGGAAGATTAATAATTTTAGACCAAGGTTAAGTAATATAAAAATAAAAGTATAAAACCTGGGTACTCTTGTAGAGAATAACTCCATTATGGGTAAGATTTTATTTTGATGAATCACACAGTGTTGATATATAGTAATATTAACTGATGTGACCACCTTTCGAGCAGAAACTATTGCCACTCATAATCATATCAAGTCACTCACACATACAAAATGTTTTACTTCATTCATATACATGAGTGGAATTGATGATTAGACATTTGAATAAAATCCATTTAGGATAAAGTAAATTCAGAAATAGTATTAGTGTTATCAGTAAAATACAATCAGATGGGAAATAAGACGAGTGATTTCTTACAGTCAAAATAAGTAACTTGTTAGAATGTTATGATGTACGTGAATTGAATTGAAATAGAATTTTAAGATTATTTATTATCCTCCTCTGATTTGACTGACTGGCGGTGATAATATCTTCTATATCTCTGGTATTTGCATTGAGTGTGAATGAAGTAAAACGTTTTGTGTGTGTGAGTGACTTGATATGATTATGAGCGGCAATAATTTGTGCTCGAAACGTGGTCGGATCAGTTAATATTACTGTATAATACACTGTGTGATTTATCAAAATAAAATCTTATCTATAATATAAAAATACACTGGGAAAAATCGGGTGTTAATGTGAAAGGGCATGGAGACAAGTATCAAAATAAATTATGCAGCAGGTGGAGAAAGCAAATAGATGGTTACTAAATTTCATACGAGAAATGCACAATAAACAGTATTCATCACAAAATATCGATAACGGTTGAACTTGGAATTATATCCAAGGTAGAAGAAGCAGGAGATGGATAATTTTATTCTGTGCACATAAATCAGCGTTTTCCACCCGAATCAGTAAGGTCTAAGAAATGCGAAGTACACATAGGCGTACCGTTTCCAGAAGGCTTCTTTTGAGTTAGTAGATAACTTTGAATGAATCCTCCTTGTATGATTAACTGACCAGAGTTGAATATATGTTCAGTTCTAGGGCACTATATTGACCTACCGTTACCTTTCCGCAACCAAGCGAAAGAATGTTCTTTGAGTAGCTTGAAAATCCCCATTGAGTCATATGAAAAAGAGAGGACGTTCAGCGAAGAGACTCTTTTCGGCGAATTCATTCACATAGCTGTACAATCACATTTATATACAATTATTTGTATGTACATAAGGTTTGTCAAGTTTAGATAATTGATCATGTCCACTTGCAATGGACGTAGTCTATCTTATTACCCGACAGGAAAATTCTACCTAATCTTTCTTTTCTTCTGTCTCTTCATTAGTATTATTTTGTCTTCTCAATTGTAATATTTTACATTTTCAACTTTTTTGTTCTCTACCCCCACCCGATTTAATTTCTGCACCTCACTACCACTGTTACTGACTTGACCAACGCTCAATTTCTAGTCATCTATGTTACGTCATCCAAATTATTTGCTCACTTTTAGTTCTAATTTAAATGGCATTATTCTCTACCCCTTGTTCTACTTAGTTCTCTACCTGTAATTACCTCTGTTGCTACCCTGATCTAAGTTGAAACATTTTAGTCAATTATATTACGCCATCTAACTCACTAACTCAATCTTACTTTAGTTGCTGTCTAATTAACCTTGTTTCTATATTAGCTCATTCTTGTATTAGCTGGTCAATTATCTAAGCTTGACAAACCTCATGTACACACACAAATAATTATATAAATATGCCATTGTACAGCTATGTGAATGAATTCGCCGAAAGGAGTCTCTTCACTGAACGTCTTCTCTTTTTCAAATATTCTTTGACTCTTTTAGAAAGAAATGTACATCCAGCGATCTATATATCTCGCTCCACATGGGCAAGTGAATTGGTAGACATAAACAGAAGTTGTCAGATGCCATAATTTACCCGTAAAGTTATTGAACAACACCACTTATATGTGTATCCACCAGTTCACTTGCTCCTTTATAGCAAGGCATATAGGTCGTTCGATGAGTGTTTTATTCAAAGGAGTCAAAGAACATTATCCCGCCCGACAACAGTAAGGTAACAGTTGTTCAATAAGGAGTACCAAAATTGAGCATATATTCATTACTGACCACTTAATATGTAGAGAGAATTCATTCAAACTTATGTGCAAAGTCAAAAGAAGCCTCCCGAGAACTGCAAGCATATGTGTACTTTGCGCTTCTTAGACGTTACTGATTCCGATGTAAAACGCTGATTTATGCGCACAGAATAAACTTCTCCATCTCCTGCTTCAGCTATTATCACTATTTTGTGATGAATACCTCACTTTTTTGAGGATTTTCCTATATAGTCACTTCAGTCGTAGACCACAACTCATGCGGCATTGTGTATCGCCGTTGCCCTGGAGTGGTCATCTGTCGTCAAATAATACACACAATACTGTTTTACTACAGTTTGGTACTGGTCCAATAATCTCTGCTGTAAGGTCTCTAAAAACCATTATGTAGCTTCGAAATCCTGAATTAGCATGAGTTTACCCCAGTTTCTTCGATTAGAAGATACAAATAATAATACAAATAAATAATAGCCAATTAAACAAAATAATATAATTTACAAAATACCTTGCAATGACTGTGAGTTAAGTCAACTACATAGGTCAAACTAGTAGGTCGGGGATAGTGAGATTATCAGAACATAAGAATTTAGCTAAGGTAAGAATGGTTGACCCAGAGAAGATAAGTAATTTAGAAAAAAGCTCAATATAGCACTACATGCATTAACACACAACTACACAATAGGGTAGGAAAGGGTTAAAATCATAAAAAGTAATATAGGTAGGTAGAGAGAGAGATTGATTACTGAATCCTGGTTCATTGAGTCTACACCCAACAAATGCAACAGGAATGACTCAATGCAAATTTCAGAGATATGCATGGAAGATATTATTACCGCCAGTCAAATCGGAGGAGGATAATAAATAATCTCAAAATTCTATTTCAATTCACGTGCATCATAACATTCTAGCAAGTTACTTATTTTTACTATGAAAACACTCGTCTTTTTTCCCATCTGAATGCATTTGATTGATAACGCTCGTATTATTATTATTTCTTAATGTACATTGTCCTATATTTTGTTTTTTATTCAAGTGTCTAATCAGTTCCACACATGTATAAAAATGAAGGAAAAAGTTGTGTGCGTAACTTGTTATGATTATGAGTGGCAAAAGTTTGTGCTCGAGACGTAGTCATCAGTTAATATTACTGAATAACAAAACTGTGTGATTTATCAAAATAAAATCTTACCTATAATGAAGATACAAATAAATCTAGGGAAAATCGCAATGCAACAGCTTTTACCAATTACATTAAATATTTGTCTTTGAAAGTATATAAAACATTACTGCCTTCTTGTATATTTCAGCCAACCAATGTTTAGCAATCAGTATATGGGAACGAGGTCAGTCTCTAGGAATCTTTCCAGAGCAGCAAGTACAACAGTTTATAATCAAGCTGGACCATATTCACGTCTTAACACGGTAAGTTCAAAGTGATACCATAAAATTACTTTCACTCTGAAAGGTTTGAAAGTGTGAGTGTAAAGTTGCACAGACTACTGACCAGATATTTCCATTTTTAATTATGGATTATTGATGACTATCTGTGTCCCAGATTTTTATGTATCCCATTAGTTTCTGTCATTCTTGTGGGTCAGACTACACCCGACATCCATCTGACTATCATCTTGTTAGAGTTCTGAATTATAATTATTGACGGTTTGGATAGAAAAAGTTAATAATAATAATAATAATTTTTGCTTTATTCCAAAAACAGTATTAATGATACAGCAAGGAATTTTCAGCATTCAGCACAGTATTGCATCTAATTTACTCAAAAACGACAACAACAAACAAAAAAGTAGATAAACGGAATAATTATACATAATAATGATAACAAAACGTTTATAGGAGCTATGTAGCAATTACAGTAGAGGATAAGGAGAAAAATATAAAATTATAGTAATAATAGTAATAACAACTAAAATAGAAATAGCAAAGTTATAATTAAACGATAGAAAGGGTGACACCATAGAATTACAGAAAGATGAACAATGAAAGGGTCGATTCACTATGCTAATTACATAGTAACTTATATGTTTCACGTCTAACAGTGTCTTCATCACATAAAATACGGGCTAAGTACGGTATTGTAGAATTTTTGTACTTAGTGGTACGAGCATATAATTTCTTATATTGACTTCTCGTTCTACCTGATGAGATACAAGGGGATAATTGTGAATAAAGAGGGTGCAGAGGGTCTGACAGTACGGCCTTTGCCCAATTTTTACAGGAATTTACGTGTCTCTCGACTATGGTATTGGCGAGATCACGCAGTGGCAAACCACAAGCCCTACTCACAGCATTTAATACCCTTCGTAATACGGCATAGTCTTTTTTAAGAAGCCCAGGAAAGATTAATGGAGAACAATAAAGTAAAATGGGTAAAATACAGGAGTTTAAAAATCGCAGAACTAAAGGTTGGCTGATACCTTGTTGTCTTAACTTTTTAATGTAGAAGGTAAGACGAAACATTTTCTTAGAGACCAATAAAATGTGAGATGACCATGAAAGGTCCGAGGAAAGAACTAATCCAAGGTATTTAATGCTTGATTTGGTTTCAATTTCTGTACCATCTATGCTACAGGCATCATGGGAACTAACTAGTTCATGTATGTCACGTCGATGGTTGAAGGTAAAGTTAACTGCCTGACATTTGGAAGGATTTAACATAAGACCATTTGACTTAGACGACATGCTGATGTCCAACAAAAAGCTATTAAGTTTGGAGCAGTCAGACTCAGAAGTGATAGGCAGTGATACAGTCAGATCATCAGCATATTTGACAAAATTGGTTTCGTTTAAATGTGGCAGGTCATGTAAGAAGAAAGAAAAAGAAAGGGAGAGAGGACGACACCTTGAGGAACACCGGCTTTTGTAAGCAAAGCAGAAGAAGATATGATATGATGTGTCTTAACAACTTCGTCGAAAAAACCAAATTTAGCTGATATTTCACTCTTGTATTCATACTGATCTTCCTCTCATAACCTTGAAAAACATTGATTCTGTCAGTCTTCTAAGTATTCTCTTTTAAATTAAATCACATTCGATAGGTGAAGAGCCTGAAGAGGGTTACTCTAAACTGATTTCTTGATTTTGCTTACAGGTGGGACAATTTTTCTTATTTGGTGGATTCCCACCTGATTTTATTTCTGAATTCTTGGGTTTTTTACCTTCTAGTCTCCTGAAAAAGGTGTTGCTACACCTTTCTTGAATCTTAATCGTCGTTTTCCTGATTTTCACCGGCACGAATTTACAATATTTCTTGTATAACGGCACTGTGTGTGGTTTATTCAACGCGTTAAACTGAGGTGTTTCGTTAACCTTTTGGTGATCAACACATCAGTAACATCAAAACACATATGAACGTTGATAGTATGATGCTTTTACTTAAATCCTTGGCTAAGGTCAAGATTCAATATGGCATCTTCGTCCAAAACGTCTGATTGTTTAAATCGAAGGCTGAATAAAATCAAACTATACATGTATGCGAAAGACGCATCAGGTCATGAGGAGACACCAGAGTTATTTTCAGATAAATCTATCGCATACATGTATTGGAAGAAAGGCTACTTTGTCATACCCCTAAAGAAGGGCGAATCGCACCTCACTCTGCAAGAACTGGCGTGGAATAATGGTCTTCCTCACGCATAGTAAAATACTAAGAAGCATCATCCTGGAGAGTATAAAAGATGCACTGAACGCAGACCTTCGCCCGCTGGAACAGGCTGGATTCAGAAAAAGAAAATCATTTGCTAATAAAACTGCAACTCCACGCATCATCATCGAACAAAGTAAAGAGTGGTAGTCGAACCTCTAACTCAACTTCACTGACCTTCAACAGCCTTGACTGTGAAGTAGTTTGGAAAGTACTTCAGCACTATGCAGTGGTGTAGCCCGAATTTTTACCAGCCTCTTTCAGCTGCTGGCTATATGACGATGACACATGATCCATAACAGAAAACTCAGCGGAAAATGCCTTTGAAATGAACACATGGGTAAGACAAGGCTATCTGCCTGCTATCGCCGATGACATTCTTAATTGCGGTGGTCTGCATTATGCCTTAGCCTGTGCATCGAGAGTGAAAATACAGGAAAACACTGGACCACCGATAAGAAAATTAAGGAAGGTCTGGATTTCGCGCCTGGATGATTTATGTTAAATTTCACAAAAACTCGAAGACTAGCAGGTGAGAACCAACAAACTGATAGGTAGCTAAGACAGGACTGCAGGTGAACATAGAGAAGACAGAGGTGATGAACCGCAACAGCAACAACAACTAGCACCAACCAACTTCAAACGGGAAAGATTTAACAAAAGTTACCTCCTTCACTCATCCAGTTACGAAGCACGGTTTCAACCACAGCCAGCCGAACGGATGAAGATGTCAAAGTAAGCCAGCCAAAATCGGAAAGGCAAGATAAACATGCCTTCATCAAGCTGAAACCAGTTTGGAAATTTTCTGCTGTCACTCAGCACAAAGAACAAGATTAGGATTTTCAACACCGATGTGTCAGAAACCTGGTGAGTGTGTTACGAAGAGTTTTTTCAACAGGTTGCAGACTTCCATCAACAACTAATTTGTCTGGCTGCACACTGAAGATCAAATGGCCGGCCAGACCGAAAGAATTAGCAACATCAAACTCTGACAGAACAAATCTGTAGGGAAACTTGGCATTTGCCCTCATGACCTCGATTCTGGAATAGAAGCCCACTAACAGCCAAACTGACAATTATTTTATGATTATGCTCTTGGGTTCCGAGTGGAACATAGGGCTTCAAAAACGTATCTCCACTTCCTTCTATTTTCTGCTGTCCTCTTCAGCTGGCCCCAAGATTGCCCATCATCTCTCATCTCATTCTCGCCACACGACCTCCTCCATGTCACAATAGCACCAATGACGCACTCGTCGGTTCCCATTCATATTCCACTTGAGCGATGGCCTGGCTGGCGCACGATGTCACTCGACGGTCTCATCAATGTTTACCTGATCCATCTCCATTTTTTCCTGTATATTTTTTGAGCAATCGGCTCTTGATTGGTTTGTCCCCATATGAGTGAAGGAGGTAACCTGAGTTAAATCTTTCCCGTTTGAAGATGATTGGTGCTGGTCGTTGTTGCTGTTGCGGTTGACCGGTTACCTTCATTACCTCTGTCTTCTCTATGTTCACCTGCAGTCTTGTCTTTGTTGCCTCTTTAACTATGGAACAGTAATGAAGAGAATAAGAGGAAATTTGCATTCAGATGTTTGTAATTTAGCAAGAGTGACTGCTCAGATAATTTCTAAATGTGGGAATAATGAAAACGGTAAACAGAACAAGGCTGACGAGAAATTAAGCTTGAAGAGTAAAAACTGCTAACAAAACTTACTGAATTCAGATTACAAAAATGTCTAATCATGTAAACAAATATAATTTTATAAATGTCTACTTCTCACTCAGCGCTCAATTATTTTGCAACTATCCGGTCAAATCTTGATCACATTTCATATGAATGAAAACATATTGTTTTCCTTAAACGGAGGAGACAATCAAATCCCTACAAACCAATACTTAAATATCAATGAGATGCTCACTGTTGACTGGTTCTAATCAGGTAGGTTGTTTCCTAGGGTACTAGTGGGAAGCCATGACCAATAGGGTATAGCAGGTCGGGCGTGAGGACAAATACTCACCACCAATGACATTGGCTAGTGGTCGCGCTATGTCGTGAATTGGCAGAAGTTGGAATTCATGGGTTGCCCATTGGATCGAGTCTCAGTGACCTAATGGTCTATGAGCTCCCTATCCTTGTAACCAGAAGGTTGTGGGTTCGAACCCTATTTTGTGGGTGCGCACTGGTGAAGAGTCCCATACTAGGCTGACGAAACAGCTGTCCAGTACTGCCTGCAGGTTTTCCAATGGTTCTCTAACCGATGTCAGCTCATGATGAAATCCTGTAACCATTCTGCTTTTATTTCCCAGTATTCAGTGATATTTGAAAAGTATTTTAGAATTGCCCACCACCACCTAGTCGGTTTCCCTGAAAAATGAATATCATATAAAAATGTTTACATCACAAATTTAATTAATCCGCTAACCAAACATTCTCTGAACAATATGGAGTTGTTAGTGGTTCAGTAGTAGAAATGTCGACAACCATACATGTGGTATGGAGTTCGATCCCTGGCCGACATACTCATAAAACTCATTTAGCTGTTAGTAGGACCACTGAAGACAGAAGGTTGGGCGTTCAGCCTGCAACCCCTCCCTATTGAAAATAAACACCGGTACTACTGAAACTTCAAAGCTGAAACTTGAACTCAGAGGAATAAACTAAAATAAATATTAGGGCTCACTAATTAATATGATCCCAAACACTTGTAGACAGTCGAAAACCTCAAATGAATTTATCGTAATCTATTATTAGTTAATTTCTACAGAAAGAATTTTACAAATCCAGACAAAAGAGAATTAAGGTTGACCAACATTTTTGTTCATTATCTTTATTTTCTGAATTCAGCACTTATGCTGAACTACACTACTGCTAGAACCGGTGATTCTCATGCTTCACATAACTAAAACTTTTCAATCAAAGATGGGTTTTTTTGGCCCTCGATGCTAAAGAGAAGCACTTCAAGATTAAGTCAACTGTCTTACAGATATGTTGTTTTGTTTAACGAGAAGTCGAAGAAGACGTACCATAAGACTGGTTATGCCATTCAGTAGGTTTTCCATTGAAATACACAAAAAGTAGTATTTCAATCAGTAGTACAGTCATTTCAATAGTTTTTTTTCCTATCAAGAGCACAATCATCAGCTATAAATGTGAGAAATAAATGTGGCAATAAATGCGATGGCTAATCTTGACACTTAAATTTCAAGCACTCTGTCATATAAAAGGAAGCAAGTGCACGATAACTAACTTTTTATCTAAAGCATAGAAATATTTACGACTTACTTATTCTGTTATATTTTGTATTAACTTTTGATCTAGCAAGCACCACAACAAAAGCCAGTAAATGCAAGGGACAACAACGAGGATGAACCAGAGGAGGTTGACTACAGTTTTATGAATCTACCAGTTCGAGAAAGACGGAAACTGTTTCTTGGTGGAGGACAAACATCATCTGTCCAAAGAGGATATCATCATTCATTTACAAGTAGGCTGTTTTTGCAAATATTTCAATATTTAAATTATGGTTGATACACACTCAGATTCTGCTCCTTATTTGCTTATTTGATTTAAAACAATTTATAGTCTGAAGTTTTAATCCAAATGAAGGATATGAAAATGCACAAAATTTTTATCAAAATGTATAAGCAAATAACAGCGAAGTATGAATTATACGTCTAATTTCAATGTAGAAAAAATCCCCATTTAGACATTTAGAAAACAGAAAGATCGAGCGAAGAAATATTTACTTTTCAATTAGATCCTCATCCCTCTCTGGCTCTACTCTGATATATATATATCCATACCATTATTTTTATTACAATACACAACAATTTACCAGTCAAGTGGGGATATGTTTGCATTGCAATAAAAATGCTATATATATTAGAGTAGAGCCAGAGATGAAGATCTAATTGAAAAGTAAATATTTCTTCGCTCAATCTTTCTGTTTTCTATATGTCTAATTATCTACAACATCTGAAATGAACAGTTTTCGTTATCCCTTGAGCAAGTGTGAGTAAACTTCGATAGTGTTATTAGAGGGTGAAGATTATCTGAAAGCTGTGATGTGTTTTTGTGCAATATGCACCTCGAACAACAATCTGATCTCTCACACATTTACTTGTCAAGTCAATTTATATGAAAAATAACTTAAAGGCCAATTAAAGTACACAAAGTGACAAAAACGAATTTAAGAATAATAGGGATAATTAACAATGCATTTGGTTGTATGCGTCCAAACCAAGTTCACTTTTAACAGTTTGTAAACACACACTGCTTTTGTAATTTTACACACAATCTATACTTGGTTTTGTTATTTTTACCAATTGACCAACTTGACAACGAAAAATGACCCCAGACTGACGAGCGGTGATCAAGTTAGAAAACTTTGTTTTGATATCATTACAGATGTAATATTACCTTTGTTATTTGGTTTAATGATCTTCATTGTTATTTTGACTTTCAATATGTCCTTTTAACTTGACCTAAGTCTATTTTCGCACGTCTTAACTCTTTGTTACATATATGCTGAGATTTTGTAAATTCCGGTTTAATAATAATTTGATAAAGCTATTAGTAGCATTAAATAGCGAAACGTCAGTAAAAACAGCATTATCGTTTTGTTTTTCATTCATTAGGAAATACAAAAACCTTTATTATAACTACATTTGGTTGTCTATTCAGATAAGGATTACCAAGATAGGTCAAAAGTCAATCTGAACGAAGAATATTCTTTTCAATAATTTCTCTTCAGGTTCATACACAATGATAAAATATAATATTTGTTGTCGTTACAATAATGATAGCCAGTTATGCGGCGGATACATTTTCGTTAACGTAGAATAACAGATTAGTTATGGGGTGACAAAATAAATAGTCGTATTTGTGTGTCAAACATCGTGCTAGGCTGAAATCGATTAAAAAATATTTCAGTGAAACGGAAGACAATAGTGGTGATTAGTCATAATAAATTTGTAGAGTGTGAGGTAGGAAAATTGACAAGTCAGTTCAAGGTTACAAAAGGTGTCAGGTGTCTGCTACACATAGCTAAAGCTGTTGCAATAAGATCGACTAAACCGGAACTTTGTTTCCAAAATGAACACGTCCAGACGCTGCTCCTACGTGGTCAAACTTGGAATGATAATTCTTCTTCTCACCAAGAATGCTTCTTCCCCTTAACCCTCTTGGTTGTTTTTTTCTTTGCTTATTATTACAATTATTATTATCATTCGTCATAATTTATGCCCTTCATGCAAACATTCTCTCAATACTATCGAATTTTCCATTTATACTATCCGGACTTATTATTAGTGATATTATCTCTTTTCTCAATATATGCCTCCACCTGTTTCATTTGACAATGAACCTTTTTCATTGCAGTCTTACTATCTCCTGTTTAACACAGACCACTTTGTACGAGCCACTCACCTGACACCTTTGATAACCTTGAACTGACTTGTCAATTTTCCTACCCCACACTCTACAAATCTATTATGACTAATCACCACCATTGTCTCCCGTTTCACCGAAATATTTTGTAATCGATTTCAGCCTAGCACGACGTTTGTCACACAAATACGACTATTTATTTTGACACCCCATAACTAATCTGTTATTCTACGTTAACGAAAATGTATCCGCCGCATAACTGGCTATCATTATTGTAACGACAACAAATATTATATTTTATATAAATGTAAGAACCTGAAGAGAAGCATGTATTGAAAAGAATATTCTTCGTTCAGATTGACTTTTAATACATGATATGGGTATATTTCAAACTATTAAATCTAATAATAAATTGCTTTTGAACACGCAGGGAAGGGCGCTTAAGTTTATGAATAGCGATCACCTAAGCATATTTCAATAAGCGCCTTTGTCCATTTAAAAAAATAACTTTAAAGCTGTTTTGACATCAATCTTGTGGTTCATATCGACTAGATGTTTATCTGCAGACTCAGTTGACAGACTGCCAGCTTCGTCTACCGACTTTCCAAAGTTCATCTGTTTTTCTAACCGCTTCGGAATATGCTCTCTCACTCCTCTCTATGTACGTGTCTCCATATGTACACGTAAAATGGTATATAAGTGGGGGACATGACGTAATCACCTAAGCATTTTTGAGGTTTGCAGTGGAGCGAACTTTTGGGCTTTTTCAATAATTATAAGTCGGGCTGCATTATAGATCCTACGAATGACCGAGTTTAATCTCTACCTTAAAATCCTACTGTTTTAACTTCCCCATTGTATGGTAATTTAACAAAAAACATCCTTCTTAGGGACAGACTAGACTATAGGCTTTAAAACTGACTAACTTCTATACCGGTTTTAAAAATGTTTAAGGATATCCATTTTCAGAACAAAATATTTAGCGCGAAAAATTGTTTTCAATAAATTCTTCTTCAAGCTCTACAATTATAAATCCACTAATTTAAGCATACAATAGCCAGTAAAGGTAAATTAGAATCATATCAGAAAGTGTATTGTGGAACAAGTATAAGATGGGATGGAACAATAGTCAAATTGTTTTTTTAATATGCATGGTCAATGAGAACATGGGACAAAATGAGATGATGTAATTTGATTTAATGTTGTGTGTGTGTATATATAAATATAGTCAACAGAAAATACAGGTTTCGAGAGTGTGTGTATTCAGGGTGTGTGAGGCATAAGTTAAAGGTTGAAAGTAACGACAGTAAGAATGATTGTAAAATAATAACGATGATATGGTGTAAAATTACAAGCGTTATTGGTGAATGATTGTCAAATAACAATAATGAATATAATGAAGTGGAATGAACAGGATTTTGTAAATACGATAGCAAGTTAGAAAAGCACTACTTAAACCTAAGGTAATAAAATCATAAGAAAGGTCATGAAATCATAAAAGTCGAAAATGAACGTTTGTCAATGACACAGAGGAATAGAAGATGAAGGAAAGAAAAAATTGTGAAAGGAATTTATAGTGTTAATGGAGGATTTGTTGGCTTTATTGTAGGCCAAGGTAAACACAGTGGTTCAACATACTTCTTCTGTATGCAAAGAGATGGTCTTCTGGTATTAATTGCAACCGCTTCAGCTACTGATAGAAGACGTAGCCAAGCTCCTCTAGATAAACTACTAAGAACGCCTGGTCAAGTTTTATCGGGTGTCCAGTATCTACCAAGTGAGCTAAGACTGCACTATTTACACACTTGGTTACTCCTTTACTCAACCATACAGGTACATGTTCACGCGCGCGCATGGATAAAGCCCTCTGAGTACGGCCAATGTAACTATCTCCACATGAGCAGTTGAATTCATAGATGCACATTGATGAGGCCATCTTTGGTAATTTATCCTTTACTTGCTGTGTGAGTACTGGTTTAGTTGAGAAGTTGATTACCAGTTTAGCTGCAGGAAATGTTCTATCTACTGCTCTATTAAGTCGACATTTTAGAATGTCAGCTGCAATTTCCATTTTCAACAAGAGTATCAATCAGTATTTTATTTTCATCCTCTATAAATCGACTTGATAAGTAAATGTGTGTGATCATAAATGTTCAAAAGACATCACATTTTTCAGATAATCTCCGTCTTCTAACAACACTATCCAAATTTATGAAAAGGACTAATTTGGACCAACCTAATGTCCAGTGATTTTACGAATTCACTAGTTCTTCAATTGAATTTTATCAATGACTTCATAACTTTATTTCCCTTTTGTGAATTTGAATAAAGCAAGAACAACAGTTTACGCTTCTCATCATCTGCTCACAGCTCAAAAATAATATTAAGTTTACGTACAGAAACAGCTTTAAAACAAAAGGAGATTTCAAGTTTAAACAAAAAATCGATATATGCATACAATGGTAATAATAATAATCACTTTATCCCGAACGATAATAATCATAATAATTATACAGAATAGAATTGCAAAGAGTTACTCTTTTCGGCAATATCATTCTCAAGCTGTACAAACCGCAAATTTATAGTAATTTATCTTGGCAACAAAAGGAATATTTCCAAAGATGTGTTAATGCAATTGTTAATTTTTGACAACAAATTACATAATTTAGAAGGCGTTAATCGGTTAGAAACTAAAATAAAGTTACAAAAGTAGGTTGGGTGACGTAATCTAATTGATAGGGTTCAATGAAAAATGAATGAGAGTCAAGTTAATAAGCTGAGTAGAATTCACTTAAAAATAAAGGAAAATGGAGTTAGCAACAATCGTCATGAGGATAGAGATTTAATAGAGGGTGAGGGTAGAAAATAATGCAATTGAGAAACAGACAAACAAAGAAGAAAGAGGTAAGACAAAATTACGTATTTGGTGTTGAGATAGATCAGGACCATTGTAGATTTAGTGACTGAACAAACTTCTTTTGTATGCAGAATTCAATATGTGAATCTCTACCCTCATGACGACTGTTGCTAACTCCATTTTCCTTTATTTTTAAGTGAATTCTACTCAGCTTATTAACTTGACTCTCATTCATTTTTCATTGAACCCTATCAATTAAATTACGACACCCAACCTACTTTTGTAACTTTATTTTAGTTTCTAACCGATTAACGCCTTCTAAATTACGTAATTTGTTGTCAAAAATTAACAATTGCATTAACACATCTTTGGAGTTAATAATCATAGACAATGGAATTTTTGGCGCCACGTAATCAAATGAAAGAGAGGATGAAAACATATAGTTACCAAGCAGGGCAAGGAAAGACTTAAAACTGCTTCTTTCTGAACGCACTGATCGGGTTTCAGGCGTTTGATGGAGATTGCCTCGGCAAACTTGAGGAGCACTGAAAACCAGGGAGTATTGGACAGCTGTTTCATCCTAGTTTGGGAATCATAGGCAGTATGCACCCACCACAGGGGTTCGAACCGAGGACCTTCCGATAACAAGGCAAGCTCGTATACAATTCGGCTACTTGGACCCGATTCAATGGCTCGTGAATTCTAACTTAGCGCGACCCCAACCAATGCCATCGGTGGGACATCCATCCTCGCACGTGACAATTGGATGGACCTCACTGCGTATTGCCGATGATTCCCAAAACTAGGACTAAACAGCTGTCCAGTACTCCAGTACTGGTTTTCAATGGTTCTCTAACTGATATCAATCCGTGATGAAACTCGTGAAAACAAATCTAATCCTTACAAACCAACTATAGAAAACTTGAGGAGAACTGAACTTATTTTGCCTATGGATAATTCCATCGTGTGTGATTATTATTGTTTGGGATAAAGTAATTATTACTATTACCATTGTCTGCATTTTATTGATTTTTTGTTTTTAAAAATGAACTCTGTACAGGTATGTTAAAACTGTTTCTGTACATAAACTTGATAATGTATTTAGGCTGTGCGCAGATGATGAGAAGCCAACAAAATAAACAATAATGGTACCATTTTATTATTCTGCACAAACCACTGTTGTTGTTTTTCTTGCTTTATTAAAATTTATCAGTGATATAGATAACTCCAAAATCTGTCTCTCTTCCGTCAACCTTTGGATAAACAAAAATAAATGAATTCACCGGTATCATTAGAGAAATACTGCTTTGACAACAACAACAAAAAATAAATCCGTTGATAAATCTAAATATAGCTGTCTCCATTTTATCATTATTTTTTTCTTCAAACATTCCGTTTTTTACATTCGTTTTATTTGCTGGAAAACTAGTCATCATCAGTGCGGAAAACTTTGGATGGAAATGACAATTTTAGGACACTAGCTTTAACTTTTGACCGGACTTTATGATTTTATTATCGTTTTAAATCATACCTGCACAATCTAAAATGTCTTATTTAAGTATTATTATTATTGTGTATTATTGTTCCCTTGGATTCCTATTGGAACATAGGGCTTCAACTGCACGTCTCCACTTGCTTCTGTCTTCTGCTGTACTTTTCACATGCATCCATGTTAGTCCATACTGTTTCAGTTCCTCTTCACATGATCTCCTCCATGTCACCCTTGGACGTCCCACTCGCCGCTTCCCTTTCGGGTTCCACTCGAGCTATGGCCCGACGCGCGATGTCACCCAGTGGCCTCCTCAGCGAGTGTCCAATCCATCTCCACTTTCTCCTGCATATTTGTTGGGCGATTGGTTCTTGTTCCGTTTGTTCCCATAGTTTCTTGTTGGTGATTCTTTCCGGCCATCTAATCTTCAGTAGTATAGAGCGAAGACAGTTGTTGTTGATAAAGGTCTGCAACAGGCTGTTGGAAATATTCTTTGTGACCCACTGGCCAAGTTTCTGATCCGTATAGCAAAACTGACTTGACATTTGTATTGAAAATCCGAATTTTGTTGTTGATGCTGAGTTGAGTGACGAAGATTTCCAGATTGGTTTCAGGTTGATGAATGTATTTCTCGCCTTCCCGATTCTCGCTCGATTTGACATGCTCGTCCGTTCCTCCTGTAGTTGAGACAATGCTCCCTAGATAAGTGAATGAAGTAACCTCTTTCAAATCCCTCCCGTTGATGGCGATTGGCGCTGGATGTTGTTGCTGTTGGTTGGTTATTTTCATAACCTCCGTCTTGTCTATGTTCACCTGGAATCATTCCTGTCTTTGCTGCTTCTTCGACCAGTTTTTCAGGTTTCGCTTGTAAGTCTGGTTCCATGATTGTCCACTAGCCTTCATGTCACCATCAAACGATCCCCATTCGGATGTTCGTTGTGACTTAATGGTCTCCATGGTGTGTGCGTCGGTGGTATAGCGGTTAGGACGCTCGCCGACCACGCGCACGCACCGGGTGTTTGATCCCCGGCTGACTCACTCCTTTACCTCGCTAAGCCAGGACTAAAAGCTAGTGAAGAGGAAAGGTTGGGCATGAGGCTAGCAACACCATCCTGTAAAAATTAACACTGCTACAGGAACTTCAAGCTTCTAGCTTAAAGTCCTATGTTCCACTGGGAATGTGAAGGAATTTTTTAAAAAAATATCCGACTGACTAAATACATCTGTCAATCTCCGTCTTTCACGCCTTGCAAGGAAGAATTCTGCTTAAAGCCAAGCTAATGATGAACCCATAGTGATTCCACCTACTTGTCTACAATATGAATTATTGAAGACAGAACGTGTATTAATTTTGATTTTACGGGGTGGTTCTTTGAAGCTAGACAGGGGAATTTCCAAGCCCATCTGTGTTTCAGTGATTAGTCTGCATATTAAGTCCACCGTTCAAATAAAAGGTGGATTCATAAATAGTGACGATACATCCATGAATAACAGAAGTTTACTGCTAACACTAGTCTCAGATGTTTCAGAGAAGAAATCAAAGACATTACTAATTCTATATCGCACAAATTCTTTGTGTCTCAAAATCTTAGCTAACCACTTTACCGTTCCGTGAAATGTTGAAAGCAGAAGAAGATTCGGTTTGTGCACTTTGGGTAAACCGTAAAGACGTGGAGTGTTGATCTCTGTAGGTTTCATTGATTCATACATCGTTGACGATATTATTCCTTTTCGACTCAATTTTCTGAGAGAGTCTGTCATTAGTTTCTCCGCTTAAATATTGCGATCATTTAGAATTACCAACTGGTTTGAATTTAGTTCAATAATTCAAAATACTTCCCATTTTCCAACATAATCGCTTTTATCCAATAACATTATACCGTCGCCTTTATCAGACCTGCTTATAATCAGGCTTTCATTCCTTCTAGGCTCTCTTAACACTTCTCTGCGTTTGTTTAGATAACAGACTACTTGCCGATCGTTCAACATTTTTGTTTTGTTTATATATTTCGCCACTAAGCTAGATTATGTCAACACCACCACAAGGAATACCGATCCAACTTTCAGCACACTGGAATAAAGATGGCTTCATTCAGCTTAACAGTTCAAAGGCGAATCCTCTTAACTAGTTTGTGGTCTCATCTATCAAGCAAGCTGTGTGAACACTGCACACAGTGACCTCAACAAACGGAATATCCAGTCAGTAAAGATAAATTATTACTCAGATAAATAGTGTTGAGTTCACTGTGTTTCTTTTTTTTTAATCTTAGATGACACATGCTTTTTTTATATAATCGGTACAGGTAATATTTGTTAAGATAATGAATGAACAAAAATCACCACAACGGATGCCTTTGATTTTTAGTGCCAAGGAAAAGAAGTGAAGTCAACAGTTATCATAACCGCTTTGAAACACAATCAGAATACGGTGGAACTGATCACAGCACCTATGGCTGGGATATTCCTGTTACACCGACATGGGTTAAAGACTACAGCAGCACTACGAGTTCTTATCAGCCGGCAAAGTCAAGATCAACTAAAACATTCAGTTTGGCGTCGACACCTGCTGAAAGGCCTGTTCAACAACAATTCACTCAGTATGTTGCTGCCCCACCATCACCGCGTTACAACCAAGTGAGTATGATATCTGTGTATTAAATAACGCAAATATAAATCGTCTTTTTCATCCACTGTAGACATTCTTGTAGCAAACTGATTAGCTGCTGGTATTATTGAGCGCGTTGTAGGTGGCAGTCGATTATGAAGACTTTTGAAGCGTTCAGCCTAATGTCTTCTTTGTTCCACCTCTTTGGTGATTGACTTAATTTTTGTTGAACTCTTGGTTGAGTGTTGCGAGGTCTCCTTTGCCTGCAGCTTGTTCTGCTTCACTTGCCATAGCTTCGTGATATTGTCTTTTGTCTTCCTTGGCACTCTTCTTTGCTCTTTTGTTCAGTGTATTGTAGCTTGCATTCAAATCCTGTTTTTGTTGCTCGTCGATGCACTGGATAATCTTTTGTTTCAACATCCTTCTCTCTTCTATTAGTTTCCAAGTGTCCGTTGTGAGCCATTGTTTTCCCGTCTCTGCTTTCTGTCTAGAACTTCTATGCAGGTTTGACTCCACACTGCCTTCACGTTGTCCCAGCTCTTTTCTTCGCTAGTGTTGATTTGTGTCTCCGCCTTTTTGCTTATGTTTAAAGTGAAGATGTCCTTTGTATCCTGATCCTTCAGTTTTTGGTATCGAACTCGGCTTGTAGTCCATTTTCAGCGCTTGTTTGTTTTATAGTTTTTAATTTAATTTGGAGTGTTCCTTGTACGAGATAGTGGTGTGAGCCCATGTTTGCTCTTCTTCTTACTTTCGTCTCCAGTAGGCTGCGTCTCCACTTCCTTGAGCACCATTGACATGAAGTCAATTTGGTTTTTGGTTCGCCCGCCTCATGACAATCATGTAGCCTTGTGGATATCCTTGTGTTTTTATACGTCGTCACCAATCACTAGTTCATTGAAGGCACCACATATATATATATACGTTTACTAATGTTTGTTGTTTGTGATATTATCCGCTCGATTTACAAACCAGTGTTTGTGATACAATAACAGAAATTTATCATCCACACTGTAAATTCAAGGAAACCAACTTCCTTGTTTTAACTAGTATGAACAAATAAGCCTTGGAGGCAAAGTGGGTGTTGCCTAGTAGTCGAACACTGTTGACTGGACACACTTGGTTATTGTGCTTAGCTAATACCAACTAAAATGAAGTAAAACAAATTAATAGTGCTATTAATCAGCTATGTAGTTTAAACAATGACAGTGGCTTTGATAAATAAAACAATACGGATGATCAGTTCGTTGTTATTATCAAATTTTGGATGAATTGAGACTTCATAAGAAAAATGAAAATGTCCTTTACTCCAAGATTTGAAGTCTGTTTCTGGACATTAGCTGAAACAGCACAAACTTAATGTCCGTGAAACACTAGTTGATATCCCCTACAACCTGTCAACCAGAAACACTTCGTTTAGTGCAGCAGAATACGTAAACATTACTGTTTGGGTGTTGTTGTGCTCTGTGACTTTGATGGTTTAATAATGTTAGCACTAAGCATGTTGTCTGGACAGACAATAACAGGTTCACACTTAAACTATCCATCTTGCGGAAAACAATGACGTGAAAAACGTCTCAGTAACTGATGACAATTCAAAAGCATACCTCAGGTATTTTTTACAACTCTGTTGAAGTCCCCCGAATGACTTCAGAGTACAAACACTGACGGTAATTAGTCCCAACTAAACAATTTTTAGACACAGTATAAATTGTTCAAGTATTGGTTTGTAGGGATTTGATTGGTTGGTTACAGGATTTCATCATGAGCTGACATCGGTTAGAGAACACTTAGAAAACCACCAAGGAGTACTGGACAGCTGTTTCATCAGCCTAGTTTGGGACTTTTCATTAGTACGCACCCACTAGGTCTCGAACCCAGGGTCTCCTGGTTACAAGGTGAGCTCGTAGACCATTAAGCCACTGAAACCCGATCCAGTTGTCTATCCATGAATTCTAACTTCCGCCAATTCTCGACATAGCGCGACCTCTAGCCAATGACCATTGGATTGGGTCCCAGTGGCTTAATGGTCTACGATCTCACCTTGTAACCAAAGGGGCCTGGATTCGTTGCTCGGTGGTATGCACTACTGAAGAGTCCCAAACTAGGACGAAACAGCTGTCCAGTACTCCCAGGTTTTCCAATGGTTCTCTAACTGATGTCAGCTCATGATGAAATCCTGTAACCAATCAAATCCCTACAAACCAACACTTGAAAGTCAATGAGATGCTCACTAGCGACTTGCCCTATTCAGGTGGGTAGTCACCTGGGGTTCTAGTGAGAAGTCGTGACCAGTAGGGTGCAGCAGGTCGGGCGTGAGGACAAATACTCGCCGAAGACATTGGCTAGGGGTCGCGCTATGTCGTGAATTGGCAGAAGTTAGAATTCATGGACCATTGGATCGGGTCCCAGTGGCTTAATGGTATACGAGCTCGCCTTGTAACCAGAAGGTACTGGGTTCGAATCCCGGTGGGTGCGTACTGCTGAAGAGTCCCAAACTAGGCTGACGAAACAGCTGTCCAGTACTCCCAGGTTTTCCAATGGTTCTCTAACTGATGTCAGCTCATGATGAAATCCTGTAACCAACAGTATAAATTAATTAAACACAAACAAAGCGTATGTTTAAGTCACATGTAGTGAATAATCAAGAAGCTGTACGATCCACAAATAACTGGCCAGGTAGAATAAGCCACAAGTAACTCTGGCAGACGGTAAACCAGCCTGAAAACAGTTGGTGAACGCACGTTGACGCACGTTAAAGAGACCGTTTAGTGACATCGTGAACCAGACGGACACTCAGGTGGAACCCGAATAGGAAACAACGAGCTGAGCGTCTAAGCGTGATATTGAGGAGATTGTGCGGGGAGAAGATGAAAGCTTATGGACAGTCATGGATCCAAATGAAAAGAACTGCAGAGAACTAGATGAAATACAGATGGGCTGTTGACGTACTACATTCCACTGGGAACCCAAGGAATTTATAATAATACGGTACATTTCAACTGGCATCCTTTATTAAGCCATTAAACGACGATTGACGCTAACTTTCACAGAAAACAGGAGGAAGAAAAATGTCCAAATGTTCACAACTCACAGTTGTTTCCATTATAACCTCTGCCTAAATGTGTTTAAAGTTCACTCTATGCATTGATTTTTTAACTTTAAAAAGAGAAAGAATACGACAATGGTCGCTGGCAACTTGCTGTCAGAGATCAGACAAAACACTAGGGCTTGAATGGGTGAAGCTATGTACCCTCGATCGATTGACACGATTAGTTGGAAACACAGACTCATCAACCAGTAGTGCTCGCTAGTCAGATTGGAGTAATCTATAACCTCGGGTCTCCGATTCGCTCGTTTGCGACCAACCTCATCAGGGATTTGCCTCAGACAGCTCAGTTAGTCCAAGCTCTGCCTGGATTCTGGATAGCTACTTGGGAGCACTGCAGCACTGAAACCTGAGATGCAAAACACAAAACTAGTATGTCTTTAATATGAGGGAAACAATATTGACCATGCAAAGGACACTTACGTTTGCCTGTTTTCTTTATATAAACAAATCCCATGGGTAAGCATGCTTCCATAACATAGCTGATATGTCATGATTGAATTTAATTACCTCATCTGTGAAAAAAAAACAACAAGAAAGATATTTGTATACATTTGAATGAATGAATGAATGAATCTACTGCATTCCTGTGGAACCTGTTGTACTGATATTGCCTAAATTATTGGACACATTGAACCAATGAATACGTACGTGTATGCATGCACCTTATTTTCAAAATACAATAAAGAATATTGATGCCATTTTTCAAACGTAAATGTCTCTATCCAGGTTTTGTGCACAAATCTTCAGGTATGCTTAGTTGGATTTTATCTAGGCCAACATTAACGACATATTTCTTTCTGGTAGGATCTATACGGGAAAAAGGATTTTACATGAATTGGTATTATTTTTCGTGCATAAATAATAACGGTATTCTTAAGGTTATTGCATCAGTCACACTACGAATTGTTTATTAGATAGAGAGAAACAAGGTCGACTTCTCTATTTGCTACTTTATCTACCAGATAATACCTAACATTAATCTCTTCTGAGTTGTGTTCTTCTCCGGGAAGAAAAAAAGGAATTGAATAAGAACCCTCAGTTACAGAGTCAGAGTTATCTGCTCAGAAGACATTGTTGAAAATGAACTTAGGGTTGGCTGTAAATGACATCCAAAATGAAAATAGCTATCCAGAGAGGTTCATCAGGAAAAGGACTATTCTCTATCTGTGATTAAGAAGCCCTTATATATGTATGACTGCAATTCAAGGGTGACGTACCGAGTGAAATAATTACTAACAAGTTAATAAAATCTATTCAAAGAACTTTTAATGCTGGTAAACTACAAGTCATATTGTGGTGAGAGATGTCTGCAAGCTAAAATTGTAGACAACAATTGACGTCAGTGTTCACTTCCCGAATTAGGGTCATGAGAAAAACAACAACAAAGCTTAAACCTTGAGAAAATCACCAGCCAATCACAGTGGGGTTAGAGTATGCAAATATAATTCACATACATTTGACTTAGTTTTCTGAGAAATGGCCACAACAAGATAACAGAATAACCTTCAGCAAGAAAACATCCAATCAGAAGAGGTTGCTCTCGCTAACATAACGCTAATAATAATGGCATAAAATCATAAATACCTCTTGATTTTCTAATAAACGATATGTTATCTGGCGCTTGTCTTCTTCGTTACAATATATCTACACAACTTGTGATTCCCCAGTTGAAAGAGAAGTAACTAGATAGCCACCTCTAATTGTATGTGACATTTTAACTGCTCCTATAGGGCTGGAAATATTCTTCGCCGCTCTAGAAAGTTGATTTTTCATGCTCGGGAACACCTACCAGTGTGGCTAAATAAAGGTGTCGTGAGAACTACTAAACAGCTCGATATTTAACCGCCTAGTCTAGAGCGACTTGCCACAAGAATAACATTGAAGAATCCTTCTCCATCATCTATCGGGTTATAAATAAAT